ACGTTCAGTTGGACGGAGAAGAGTCCGTGCTTCACTTCCTAGACGAAGAGCAGGTACTGTACATCTCTGTTGTTGTAGCAGAGGTTTTACGGCGCTCGCAACTACATAAGGTCATATGAGCGCCAAAGTCGTGGTTTGCGACGAGTCTCCTGGAAACTGCCTCTATTCCCCCAACACAGACTGAGACAAACCGATAGTGGCACAAAGAAAAGCGGGCCTGGCGACACGTAGAGCTCCCACCTACCATCTCTCGAAGACTTGAGGAATACGAACGGGTGTTATCTTTTTGTTCGTTTTATTTTCTGAGTATAATGCAGTCGAACTTGCTTTACGGGCCACCTGTATAAGACAATCACCTGGTCAAACAGCCACTTCCATTTTCCTCCCTTGCGTTTTTTTTTCATCTTATAACAACTCTATGTATAAAAACCACATGTGTAGGACAGCCATTATACTCATCGACAATGGGTGGCCGTATTCGACAGTTTAGACTGTATAAGCTTGCTCCTTTTTAAACTAAGCCCGTGGGAGTCGGCTCAGACATTTAAATGTTGAAATTATATTTCATTTTTGGGGTCTTACGGGCACTGTTCTGTGGTTTATCAGTTGGTTTCTGAGCGCTCTGGTGTGGCTGGCCTTTTTAAAAAAATAGTTGTTGTTGGTGTTAATTGTTGTTGATATATTGCTATAGTACGAGCGTACATGCCTGTTTTCGGTCTCCCAGTGCCCACCCCCACGTCGATTCGACAGACACAGCAAAGTGTGAGTTTTGGAGAAGCTTCTAGAATGGCAGCTGTTTCGAGTTCGGCATCAAACCCACGAGAGTAAGCCTTCAAAAATGTATAATTTAATATGTCGATCTCTCTGTCTTGCCTTACAGAGTAACCGAGTGACGCTCAAAATGGACGTATCCCACACGGAGCACTCCCACGTGATCGGCAAGGGAGGCAACAACATCAAGCGTGTCATGATGGAGACGGGCTGTCACATCCACTTCCCGGACTCCAACCGCGGCAACAGCATACAGGAGAAGAGCAATCAGGTGGGGGCGGGGTGTGTGTGTGTGTGTGTGTGTGTGTGTGTGTGTGTGTGTGTGTGTG